CCTCGCAGGGCGTGGGCGCGTCCTCGGCCTCTTGAAGGGGAAACGGAGCGCGGGCCAGGCCTCTCCCAGGGCGAGGCTCCAGCGCAGTGAGGTCGGCCCGACTAAATAAGGAAAACCTGGGACCGCGGTCGGCTCTCAGCCCGCCTGGCCTGGGCCAAAGGGAAACAGAAAAATCCCGGATTCTTTGCAAGCAGAAACATCGCACCCGGCGGGGCTCCGCTAACATGAGCTGACTGGGAGCCTGTGGCGTTGTGCGGGGGCGGGGCGGGGCGGGGCGGGGAGGTCTCTCAGTAGAGCGACAAACAAACGCTAATTAGCGACTAATAGAATGCGGCTTGGCCTGGGGGGATATCCAGCACTTGGGAGCCCAGGAGGAAGCTAGGAGGCGGAGAGCTCTGTCTGGGATGACAAGGAAGGCTCTCGGAAAGAGGTGGACAAGAATTTAATGAATGTGTAAGAATTGGCCTGGTACTTAAGGAGAGGCAGGAAGGTGGGTTTAGGGGAAGGGAGGAGGGAACCGTATGTGCAGAGCCTTGGAGGCTGGACTTGGTCGAGTGTGGGTGTAGGGTGCATCCCCAGTGTGGCAATTCCAGGGGAGGTGTGAGGAAGTGGGGACAGGATGGGGGGGTGTGGACTGGTGTCATTTGTCCTGTCTAGGGCTCTGATGTTATTCTGGGGACAGTGGGTGGGCAGGATTGACACGGAGGGGTTTAAAATGCTGAAAAGCTGTTGTCAGATTTGCATTTTGATTTTGGGGGGGGGTAATTAGGTTTGTTTATGTATTTTTAATAGAGATACTGGAGATTGAACCCAGGACCTGGTGCGTGCTAGACATCCACTCTACCACTGAGCTATACTCTCCCTCTACCTTTTTGTTTGTTCTTTTCAGATTTGCATTTGGAAGGAATAATAACAGGCAGCCTTTATAGAGAGCTTGCCTCCAGCCTGGGACTGTGCCAGGCCCTGGTTGTGAATTGTCACACTTAACCCTCACCCTCTGAGGTAGAGGTACAGTGAAGATGCCCATTTTATAGATGAGAAAACAGACCAGAGGTGATGGTGACGTGACTTGTCCAAGCACAAGTAACAAGTGACAGCCAGTACATGGCAGAGGCAGGGTTTGACTGTGAATTCAGGATCGGATTGAAAAGGGTGTAGGGAATTGAGATTTGTGGACAGTTGTCCCCAGAGCTGGGAGCAGGTTCAGGGCCTGCTAATCCACATCCCTATGACCCTGTTTGGGTACTTGCAGGTACCAAAGCCAGGATTCCACCTCTCCCTGGCTGCATGCTGGAAGCCCTTGGAGGACCATTTAACATCAGACTTATTAAACCTGGGATTTAGTTTTGTAATGTTCCCTGGATGATTCCAGTGTGAGACCACCTTTTATTAGGGAGATCTTTGTGGTCAGTGTTCAGATGAGTTTGGATGTTGTAGGGGTGGAGCCAGGATAGGTGCTTCTCCTGGAGGAGGGGGTTCATCCTTGAGGCTTTGCTGGTTGGTTGGGGTGTTGGGGGCAGAGCAGGTTCTCCAGTGGTGACTGGGAGCCATGGGGCTGCACTGGGCCTGTCATCTTGGTCCCTGATCGCCGAAGTGTTTTCCATCACAGCTGTCCCTGTGGAGAGGGGCTTCCTGCCTGCTGCCCGTGCACACATAATTACATTGGACCCACCCAACCCCTGTTTCTCAATGCTGTGAGTGAGATTACTTCCATCTCTGGTGGGCTGGTCGCTGCAAGGTGGTCAGGCCCTAGCTTCTGCTGGTTATTTCCACTTCCTCATCACCCAGTGTTGTGCTGGCCTCCAGGAGCTGTCCAGGAAACAAACGATACTGTAGGTTGGCAGGGGCCTGCAGCAGGGTGCAGGTTCTTGGGCACAGCAGTGAAATCTGAGCCTACTGTGCTGCATGTGTCACCTTAGGCTCCGGTCCTGGGTTTTGGAGTTGGTGGCCTGGCCTGAGTTGGCGGGACTCCCAGTGTGGCTGGCCCCACAGCATGTGATGATGGAACCTGGGGAGGCAAGTGGATGGGGTGTAGAAGAGATTCCAGGCTCTTGTTGACACTCTGAAGATGTCTCTGGGAGATTTCCACAGGGCTGGTGGCTGGGAACCCATGGGAAACTAGGCCCTTGGGTGCAGATGTTAAGGCCCTCCATCCCAGTCCCCCAGGCCACCATCTGCCTGTCATCCCTGCAAACCCCCTCCTTGGGGAGAGGGAGATGGGTGAGTCTTTTCTTCAGGGGAACAGGGCTGAGCTCGAAGATGCCAGGAGCCTCCTTGGTGAGGGTGTGCATGTCCAGGGGCCCCAGAAGCCCTGCCTTCTAGGCATCACCAGCAGTGTCCTCTAGGGACCTCTGCCATCAGCGTCTTGCAGCCACCCCTTCATTTGAGACTCCTTCGCCAGCCTAAGGTGTGACAGGACAGCTGTCTCCAGACTTGATGGGGAGGATAGCGGCTTGCCATGGGGGATCTGGGCCCACCAGGCCTCAACATTCAGGGTGGCCTGGGGTTCTGAGACCCTGGCTCTTTTTGGGTTAAACAGTGCTGCTAGGAGGTGGCAGCCTGAAAAAGATGACGTTACTCAGTAAAATTTTGCTACTCCCATATTTTTAAAGTTTTATCATGAAGAGTTTAAACGTGCAAAAAAGTAGGCAGAATAGTGTGGGCCCTGTCCCTCCCCACCCCCACCCATTTTTGAAGCAAATTCCAGCCATCCTATTCTTTGATCTGTAAGCATTTTGGAATGTGTGGTGACACCATGATCATACGTAAAACAGCGTATATTTCCCTGATCCTGTTACATGTCCAGTTCCAATCTTTGGTTGTCTCTCTTTTTAGTAGTTTGAATTAGGATCTGGATAAGATCCACACAGTGCCGTTAGTTAACGTCCTCTGCATCTCTGGATGCATAGGTTTCCCTCCATCTCTGTTTCCGCTCGTGTCACTTGTCGAGGAAACCTGCTCCAGTAGCTCCTGGGTTTTGTATTGCGTCTCTGTGTGTCACCTTCATGATGTCATCTGATGTGTGCCCTGTGTCATCGCCTGCCCTGTGTTTTCCCGTAAACTGATTGTTAGGTCCAGAGCTGTGTTGTGTGATGAGCCACGTTTCAGGTGTTCAGGGGCCATAGGGCCAGTGGCTAGTGTGTTGGACAGGACAGCATAGAGATGGAATGTTTGTCACCGTAGAGTTCTAGATGTGATGGCATTGCTCCAGGTGTGGCTGTTGGTCGTTTTCAGGTGTGGTTGCTTTTGGCTGACCCCTTCTCGGGTGATGTGTGTTGCTGATTTTGACCAGGTGCCGGTAGTGCGCCTCATACTGTCTGCTGAATGTTCTGGTCTAGGACTCGGCTCAGAGCAGGGGCTCAGTAGGGATTTGTTTTGCTGACTAAAATATTGGGCTTTTAGCGTCTTCTGTTGGCCAGGAGCACCCAGGACCTGTGTCGCTAAATAATAGGAGAATGGGGGGGGGGTCTGAGGGATCGGGCAAGTCTCTGGTGTCTGCACAGGAGGTGGGCGTGAGGGAAGGTGGGCATCAGGGAGTAGACCCCTGAGGCCGGTGTGAGCCTGGTGTGTGTGTAACGTATTAGACTGCAGGAGCCATGTGCATTGCTTCCTTGAGGGCCGGCGGGGCAGGAGAGGGTCCCATTCCTGGGCCCTTACCAGAGAGTGGTCCTGGCTGCTGTGTGCCTGGCCCTGTGCCAGGGATCTCCAGGGCTCACTACTCTGGGACTGTCATCAAGGGGGAGCCAGTGTTAAACCAAAGACACAGATGATGGGGAGGGGGCCGCTTTGGAGGGGCTGCCTAGGAGGACCCCCAATGCAGGGTGACTTTGAAGCCAAGATTCAGTGCTTTCACAGGAGTCATCCAGGGGCTGGGAGAGAGCGTCCCAGATAGAGAGGACAGCCTGGCAGAACTTCTTAGAGGCTCCAAGTGATGGGAGGTGGGAGGTGGGTCTTCTATTGAGAGATCAAGTAGGGGCAGCATTAAAGGACTTAGTAGGGTAGTGTCCTGATTGACATCTTCCTGAAAGAACACTAGCTGCTGTGTGGAGATGGTATTGGGTGGCCCTGGACATCTTGCGTGCCCAGCTGGTCTCACCCTCACATTCCCTGAGCTGCACATGATGGCTGGCACCTAGAAATTCAGGCTGTAGATGCATATGTAATGTTAGTTTCCTGGTAGGTCATGAGATGCAAATTTGCCAGAACTGTGGACAAGCGGGCACACTCTGCCTTCTGTATGTGGTCACTTGGCAGGGCAGAGAGGTAAGTGGGGAGGCTTCAGCTACACCTGCAACACCTGCGGACACAGAGGGACCAACACCAGAGCATTCTCAGTGCCAGCAACCCTCAGGAGCTAGGCAGTATGTGGGAGTAGTGAGGATAGCCACCATCCAGGAGGGTGAACACACCTGCAAAATGACTGCAGGGAGGATAAAACATGCAAATCATGTATCTGATGAAGGACTTGTAGCTAGAATGCACAAAATTCCTTAAATGCTAAAAAGTAAGCAAAGGATCTGAACAGACAGATCTCCAAAGAAGATACACAGATGCCCAGTAAGTACTTGAAAAGATGCTCAATGTCGAGCTTTCAGAGGAATGCAGATCAAAATCACAGTGAGATACCATTTCATACCCACTGGGATGGCTGTCACCAAAAATAGTGAGTGTCGGTGAGGATGTGGAGAAATTGGAATCCTCACCCACTGGTGGGGATGTAGAGTGGGGCAGCGCTTTGGAAAACAGTCTGGTGGTTCCTCAGAAGATTAAACATAGAGTTACCATGGGGCCCAGCCATTCTACTCCTAGGTGTATACCCAAGGGAAGTGAAACCTACGTCCACACAAAAACCTATGTACAAAGGTTCATAACAGCATTATTGACAGTTAAATGGTGGAAACAGATCAAGTGTCCATCAAGAGATGAATGGATAAACAGAATGTGGTCCATCCATCCTGTGGACCGTTAGTCGTGAAAAGTGCAGTAGTGATACACGCTGCAATGTAGATGAGCCTGAAAACACGTTCAGTGAGAGAAGCCCGACACACATTAAATGATTGCACTGAGAGGAAATGTCCAGAACATGCAAAGCCACAGAGGAAGAAGTAGGCGAGTGTTGTCTACAGCTGGGGTGGGGGATGGGGCTGAGGGATGATGGCCAAAGATTGTGGGGTTTCTGTTCGGGGTGATGAAAATGTTCTGGAACTAGGTAATGGTGGTGGCTGCACAACCTTGAAAAAATACTAAAAACCACTGAACTCTATTTAGAAGGGTAGACTTTATAATGTGTGAGTTATATTTGAATTAAAAACCAAAGCTCTGAAAAAAATACCCAGAGGAGTGCATCCTGTTCCCCACCATGTCTTCTCCCTCCACCATTGCCACATGCTGGACTCTGTGCTAAGGCCTTTATCTCATGGTGTGCCACCACGATGCAATGGCGTTGGTCCTGT